CATTTTCATTAAATGCTGCATTAAAGAGTTTGGTTAGTAAAATCATAACATAGGATATTAATAGAAGACTAGGTCAGTAAGCCAGCTGTGATAAAGTTTTAAATGGTCCTGTAATTATTATTATTGGACATTCCAATGTGAGCATGCATTTGCCTTTTTTATCTTTTAGAAATTATGGGGAAATTCGAACTATCCCATCCCTATGCATAGCAAGGGGCATTTGAGGATCCATTAAATGCAATTACTGTGTCAGAATTTAAAATAATGAACTCGTCATTAAATTAAATAAGTCATTAAATTACATGTCCATATATATATATTTTTTTTTTTTGTTTTATTTATTTATAATCTTTCTTTTTTTATTTTTGCTGTTTGAAAATGTATCAAATTATGTCTGTGTCAAAAGTGTTGTCCTTTGCCTTTAATAAACTTTTCAATTTGTAACCAGAAAGGCGAATTATGATTTATCTACATGAATGAGAAATTTAATTAACATGAGCAATAGCAAAATTCATTTAAGCTCTAACAGTGAAATGTTTTATGGACTCAGTTGCAAGTAAAATATTGATTGGCTAATTACCGGGTAACTGATTAACTGTCATCCATTCAATAACATATATACTTCAAATGCATTGTCTGTTCAGAAAAACATTTTCAGTATTTGTCATAGTCTGTACGAAATTAGGAATTTTGCAAAATGCTAAGACACATTTGCAAAACAATTTTTTTCAATTTGGCCATTTTCAGAAGACCATTTGTGTATTCTCTGTTTTTCCATTAATTCTCCTCCCGACGTTAGCTTGTATGTCGTGCCAGCAAATTTTGTGTAAACAAAGTCTTCAATTAGGGCAATCCAATCAGTTCCCCAGATGGTCTAATTGTTCCAGTGACATTAGATATTTAGTTAATATTAATATAGTGTTCTTTCATCGGTTTTCTGTGCATATACCAAATATACATGCTTGATAATACACAATAAAATTGGTTCAATGGGATTTTTTTTATAATAGATATTTCTTCCGATGTTGACACAAAATGTTGCATTTTTTAATGATCAATTTAACAATTATTGGGATGGGTGGCATGCTTTAATTTTATTCTTTTGTAAACTTTCACATTTTAGCTGAATATGTTCGCTTCTGGAAAATTCAGCAATTTAATAGTGAGGAATTGCAGGAACTGCTTAAAATGGCAGTTATGTCTATTTTCTCATTCTTGGCAGGTGAATACACATATTTCTAATAATTGGGATAAAGTGTATATGTGGCAAAAAAAAATACACATCAAAAAGGTTATTCGGTAATCCAAATGAGGACTAAATAGCCTAGCTGTGATTACAGTTGAGTTTGAGAATTCTTCCAAAGCAACTACTTGACATGGATTTTGCCATTTAGTTTGATATACATTTGATACAATTTAGACATTTTGAGTTTAATGAATACACTAAGAATTCTAGGTCTCGGTAGATCCTATTGCTGTTGTTAGAACTCTCCACTCTACTTCAGCCCCAGTTTGTGTGGTGGTTTGCCTCTCAATGCCATTGAGGTACTACTAAGGCGTGGCAAGACTATCACCAGTCATGACAGAAGGTGTTTGTAGGTGTTTAAACCTCTTTTTACACATTACCTACATATTTCACAATGCCACCATCAATGTCCTCGCTTATACTGGCTCCCACTTGCTCTGTTTTAGGAGGCCAGATAGTTTCTGATTATTTTGATTCAGGTTGGATTAATTCTCGGTGCATGGTCACATTGTATTCATTTGGTGTAATAATCACTGCTCACCCAAAGAGCCTCAATCTAAACTAGAAATCACAGATAGGAAAAGTTTTTTCAATTATGGAGGTTGTAATAAGAACAGATTGCTTATTCTCACTGGGTAAAAAACACAAATGTTGTAGCTCACAGTAGAGCCTTTCTAGAACCACCAGTGTTTAAATCTCACAAAAAGGTATCTGTGGAAACATGTAAATAAATACATGTGTAAACAATACCAATGCAAATATTTCAATTAGTGCAAACTGCATTAGTAGCAGAATCTGAAATAACAATGTATTAATAGTAACAAATAGGAACAATTTAAGGAGCAATTTATGGACTAACACAAGTGGAACGCTGTATCTTTTCAATTGCATCTCATTTTAAACTGGAGTAAGCAGCTAGTTTAGCCATTTATGCTCCTTCGTTGCTTCCTCTTATCTTGTACTAGGCCTGTTATCAGACATATAGAGCTTAGCGATAATCATGTCTTTAACATTAAACCCAGAGGCCTCTAAGGAATTAAATACATTTTACTCTACTTTTTAGTTTTTTTTTGTTTTTTTTTATCAAATCCTTTACACTGTTACAATATGTACATATAATGTAATGGACCCAGTAGAGAATGGTGATGTTTATGCAAGCATTTGAGGGGATGACGGGCAAACTGGATGACTTTGTGGATCAATTTGCCCAAATTGTGCAGGTCACATTAGCTGCTTCAGATTTTGCAGGCAGCAATTGCTCCTGTTCCATTGACTTCTGTTAGTTCCAGCATATCATCCATAATTGGCCCAACCATTTTACCATTTTCAGGTGACTGATAGGTGAGCATTAAACAGGGTTATATATTCCAAACAGGATATACACTTATTTATTTCTAAAAATATTTTACCAGGAAGGATACATTGAGATTTATCTTGTTTCCAAGTAGGTCCTGGACCCACAAACATTGCATTGTTACAATTTGGTACAGTATAATAGTAAAAATACAAAATAATATTAAAATACACAAATATACATTTAAAACAGAACAAGTAAGAAATAGTTAGCCATGATTACAGGTGCATTCTGTATTGAGATCTGTTAATAGGGAATGGTGCAAGATGTATTTGTGTCTGTGAGGTTGTTCCATACTTGCGGTGCTCTGTAGGAAAATTAGGATCAAGCTACTTTCTTTTCATAATGAGGTATATTAAATAAAGTGCTGGTACTGGATCGGAGGTTATAAGAATGTTGGGAACGGCTGGAAAGAGCATTTTACTCTGATAGGGCTGGAGTTTTCCAGAAACATTTTTAAGCACAAGGCTTGAAAGATAGAGGGTGCGTCTGGATTCCAGTGATAGCCAGTTTAGCTCTTTTAACATGTCACAATGGTGGGTCATGTAATTACATTGAAGCACAAAGCTGCAGAATGTATTATACAATGTATTACAAGAAAAAGGTGCTCTGTGCAATTAGGCGCTTAACAATAATATATAAATAGAACAGCAGCTCAAACACGCATGCAGGTATCCCAATCCTACACAAACACAATGTGAAAGAAAAAAGTGAACTTAGTGGATCGTACTACCACCAAAAGATCACTCAGTGGAGCGCTAAATATCAAATTCTTACCCCTATTGGAATAACGTATATATCACTTTAAGGGGCAGACAGCATAATAAAATCTACAACAAGAAAATACACATCATGGTGCAGTATACTTGTAAGGTGTGGACAACAAGAAAATACACATCATGGTGCAGTATACTTGTAAGGTGTGTACAACAAGAAAATACACATCATGGTGCAGTATACTTGTAAGGTGTGACAACAAGAAAATACACATCATGGTGCAGTATACTTGTAAGGTGTGACAACAAGAAAATACACATCATGGTGCAGTATACTTGTAAGGTGTGACAACAAGAAAATACACATCATGGTGCAGTATACTTGTAAGGTATTTAAGAATGTGTTTGCAGCACAGGCGCCTACACAAGATCCCCATAATCAATGTCTGGCATTTTTTTTATACAATCTGTTTCCTTTTGGTGGGGCTTAGGCAGAATTTGATTCTGTACAGGGCACCTAGTTTTGGATAAAGTTTTGATGAGAGTTTTTGTATGTGGAGGCCAAAACATAGATTAAGATCTAGCAACATACTTTGATATTTGAAAGAATGAACTGGGGTCACTGTACTATTTGATTTTGATTTGATGCATAGTTATGTAATTTATGTACCATTTTAAAGATCATTGTTACAGTTTTGTCAGCGTTTAGGAAGAGTTTATTGCAATTCACCTTTCCACCTCTACAAACTGTTCTTGGAGCACAGCCTCAAGCTGCGGTAGATTTGGTTTGCTAACGCAGATCACTGTGTTGTCCACATACATGTGTACAGTTGAGGCTTTGCAGACGTTGGGCAGATCATTTACAAATAATGTGAATAGTAGGGGGCTGGGTATGAAGCCTTGGGGAACACCACATGTGACTGGGAAAGGGAGGGAGGCCCTGTCAGAAATGTACACATATTGCACTTGATCTGACAAATACGACTGAAACCAGGTTAGCAGACGATCATCAATACGTTTTTAGAGTAGAATGCCATGGTTTGTGTCAGTCATTGGTAAAATCAAGGAAAATAGCTCCAATTAGGTTTCCGGTCTCGATATCATTGCAAACTTTTAAGAGGACAGTTGTAGTTGAGTGATTTGTGCGAAAGCCTGATTGATTATGGGTCAAATAGTTTGATTGTTGATAATACTCATAGTTGTGTGTGAATGCACTTTTCCAAGAGCTTTTTTTTCCATTACAGGTATCAGTGATATCAGTTGGTAGTTGGGGTCAAAGGCTGTCAAAGGCTGGTTACAGCCTATCAGATCTAGAGGAGGGGTATTTAGGCCCAGTCCTGCTCAGTGCCCTGTCGTGGTTTCCTTGTGGTTGTCCGAGAGCGCGTTATTGATTCTGGTAATTCTGGTTATTTGACTTTGGCATTGTTTTTGACTTCCCTGTTTTCTGGCATCCCTGACTCCTGGCTTTTCCTTATCGTTGTGTCTCTTTCTGTATCCCTTGACCTCGGCTATTCCTGACTATTCTTTGGTACGTTAGTCTGGCTATTCTAAGGTCCGGTATACGTTACCCATCAGTCCTCTGTGTTACACAGTTCTACGTGCTGGATCACTCTGTAATCCTGACAGAGCAGCCTTTTGCATTAGGGTGTGCACCCTAAAACACAAACACACGCCACGTGTGTGTGTGTGTGTGTGTGTGTGTGTGTGTGTGTGTGTGTATATATATATATATATATATATACACACACACACATATAAATACACTGCTGTGTGATTGTGTGTAAGGGTGCGGTGTGTGAGGGTGCTGTTAGTGTGGTGTTTGTGTGTTTGTTTGTTAGGGTCTGTAATGGTAAATTAAGTAATTTCTTTATATTTATGAAGTTCTGAATTTCATAAATATGAAATACCACAAATAAAATTATAAAAGGTATACTGGTCAATCACATAAATATTAGTGAATATCTTGAATGAACAGACAAGAGGCAAAGTTTTGATGAAAGTATAAACAAAACTTTACTGGGAATACAATTATCAAGCACACAAAAAAACAAATACTTTAAAAACACACTGCTATAAACAATACATTCAGGTAAGAAATCTACTTAGCTCTATTCATGGAGATTCAGCAGCGTACACAGGATAATTGAATCAGCATAACACACAGAACAATGAGGTGAGTTCCTTGCCACATGTTAAATGGATTTACATGGGCACCTCTAAAGACACCTGGCTTCTTCCGACCCAGTCATGAAACTGAAACTCTAGTTTCTGGAAACCCCTTGAATAACCTCCCATCTAGTATCCACCCACAGAGGTAACATAACCAATACCTAATGGTCATCTCTAGGAGGCGGATACTACATGTGGTCCTTTGTGAAAGGAAGTGACTTAAGAATTCTCAATACCTTCCTAAAGCACATGTCTCATTGACTATGCAGCAGCCATCTTTATTCACTCGACGTCACAGTGCTCACTAGGCCACCTATAGGTCACTTCCTCCCTAAAGCACATGTCTCATTAAATATGCAGCAGCCATCTTCTTGCTCTTAATGTCACATAGCTCACTACACCCCCTATAGGTATCATAAGTTATTGCACATGAATGGGAACACAATAATAGAACATTTATCATTGCCCATAACCAATACAGGGTCCTGTTAGTGTGCTGTGTGTGTGAGGGTGCTGTTTGTGTGCTGTGTGTGGGTGTTTGTGAGGGTGCTGTTAGTGTGTTGTGTGTGTTTGTGAGGGTGCTGTTAGTGTGTTGTGTGTGTTTGTGAGAGTGCTGTTAGTGTGTTGTGTTTGTGAGTGTGCTGTTAGTGTGTAGGTGCTGAGTGTGTGTGGGAGCTGTTTGTGTGCTGTGTGTATGTGGGTGCTGTGTGTTTGGGTTATTGGAGGGGTGGAAGTGGGGGTAGATTACTTAATATTACCCCTCCCTTCTTACCTTATGTAGGGAGGGGGGATCCTTGTTCCTGCTGCCATCCCTGGTGGTCCAGTGAAGAGTGAACCGCAGTAATGCTCAGATCTCGCGAAAGGAACCCGGCGGAGCTGCTGGCAAGAGCTCCCTGGGTCCTCTTCTGCCTCCCTCCATGCTCCAGTGGGCTGGTGGAGAGAGAAGCTTAGAGCAGAGCAAAACAAACATTTGGGCATGTATAAATAAAATAATTGAGTGGTAAAAGGGCAGAAATCAGAGACAAGACAGAGGTATGCATGTATGGGAATGAAAAGATGAAATAAGAAGCCCAAGACATGGAGCAGGGCTAGTAAACTATTCTTTAGCATAATGGGAAAGACATAAAGGTGAGAAAATGTGCATTGTGCCCAATATATACAAAGTATATCTATCATGGTTTACAGTTACATAAGTCATTTCAGAAAAATAAATAAATCTGTAAATTTACATAGAACTGACAAAAACTATTTTAGCTTTTCCTATGGGTAATCTATGCTGGGGTATCTACTAAGGTGTTATTGGGTTTCAAAAAAACATCAGAGGTTTTAGAGTAAGAACTGAAATGGCAGGAAAGACCATTCTACACAGGAGATAATGCAAATTCAATCAGTTTTATTATATCTGTCATATAAGTGAGCTGTAGCTGATTCCTCCTAATTACATTTAGCAATTAGTCAGCTTTTGTGTTACAGGAAACATTCAAATGACCATTTAATATCATGTATGTATTACCTTTTTCATATCAGGATACCATAGTAATATGCAAGTAAGTCAATATAACAATCAGGACTGGCAAAATAAATTAGATTGTTAGTTAGTGTGTGTTCAAGTTTCAAACAAGTTGTGCCTTTACTACAGGACATGTCATAGTGGTTCAACCCACACATGGAATCCACTATTAAACTGCCAGGCTGGTACTTTCTGTGTCAGAAACACAACAATCTCAAATGAAAAAATTGATGTTACCATAAGCACCGTTCCCTCTAAAGTATCCGCTTGTACGCACGCACACACCTTTTTGAGGGAAAGCACACATTGTCAGAATTTGCCACTTCTCACCAATGGCCTGTCGTATTTGCTTACCTCAAATGGCAGGTGCCAACTCTGCCAAAAAAAAAAGGGATGTGACAAGGGAGCAGTCATGATGTGTTTCCATTTCATCTCCATGCGCACCCTCTGTGGTGATGCCAGGAACCGATATATGAAGTCACTCCTACCCCCGCATAACTACAGAGGGTGCGCAAGGGAGCAGTGAGGAACTGGAAGACTGCAGGAAGAGCATCCATTCCCCACTGGATCCCAGTGATAAATTTTTTTTGACCCGGTATGTACCCACTGTGGCCAGCCTCTTCTCCTGGGGGGCCCAGGAGCCGGCCACCTCAGGGCCCCCCGAGGCTGGCCCTGCTGTCACCACACGGCCGGTCCTGTGTGCGCGCGAGGGAGCACTATCCCCTGAGTGCTTCCTCTTCAGCTCCCTCGCGCGCCGCGTACTGATACCGGAGCCGGAAGATGACGTCATCTTCCGGCGCTGGCATCCCTACGTGACGCGCAAGGGAGCTGAAGAGGGAGCTCTAAGGGGAGAGTGCTCCCTCACGTGCCCGCCAACCCTCGCATGCCCGCATCACTGAACCCCAGGGAAGCCCCTCAGAACTCCAAAAGTAAAGGAGACTGGGGGATTAAGTAAAAAAAAAAAAAATGTGTTAGTGTGTGTGTGTTAGTGTGTGTGTGTGTGTTAGTGAGAGTGTTAGTGTGTGTCTGCTAGTTAGTGTCAGTGAGTGTGTATGTTGAGTGTGTGTCTGCTAGTTAGTATCAGTGAGTGTGGTACTGTGTGTGTCTGTTACTGAGTGTGTTTGTCTGTGTGTTAGTGAGTCTGTTTGATGTCTGTTAGTGAGTGTTTGTCAATGAGAGTGTATGTTTTGTAAGTTAGTGTGTATGTATGTCTGTCGCTGAGTGTGTCTGTTAGCTAGTGTGTATGCATCTGTTCGTGAGAGTGTGTGTGTGTGTCTTCAGCACTTACCTTTCTCCAGCGCCGGACTCCCTTGGCGCTGGGGATCCCTCCGCCTCTCAGCTCCGATGCGCATGCACGGCAAGAGCCGCGTGCGCATTCAAACCGCCCATAGGAAAGCATTACTAAATGCTTTCCTATGGACGCTCAGTGCCTTACAATCGCGGAAGCTCCTCTAGCGGCTGTCAGTGAGACAGCCACAAGAGGCTGGATTAACCCTCAGTGAAACATAGCAGTTTCTCTGTGTGACGAGAGCAATCTCGCCACATTGCATTGGAGAAGCCAGGTTGCTCGCCTGCTGCCTCTGGATTATGGCACCATGTTGCTGTTTGTTTCCCCTGCAGAAAAGTCTTATTCATGCTTTTCTGCCCGGTGTTCGGTAGATTCAATCTACCAAACATCCGTACGAATGACTAGACCACCTGGGAGCTGGAGTGTGCCGGCAATTGACCTCCCAGAAGCTGCGGTTAATACTAGGTGTCCGCCATTCGTATCACGAACACGAGGTCGCGGCCATTTTAAACACGCGAACGCTGATAGACTGATTGCTAGGAGTGTAAGCCGCTTGGGTGCTTTTCCTATTCGTCTGCTGGCAGCTATTCGTATGGTTCCAGTTTGTGTGTTTGGAGTGCTATATTGTATGCTGTTCGGGAGTTTGGAGCATTCCTTTATTGGCGGTTCGTGAGTTTGGTGTTCTACAGTAGCTGTGCCTGCATCTCGGAAAGGGGACGATCGCCTAAACAGTTTTAACCCCTTGTGTGCTGAAACGGTCCGTTACACTCTGAAACTCCTATGTTTTCAGCTGCAGGGTTAAAACTAGAGGGACCTGACACCCAGACCACTTCATTGCGCTGATGTGATCTGGGTATCTGTAGTGGTCCTTTAAGTGTGTGTGCATCTGCATGCACTGGCGTACATACCGCGGTTGCAGGGGTCGCAACCCTGCAACCCCTGCGACCAGGTGCCCGCCGCCATGTGTTGCAGCCCCGGCCCGCGCAGAGTGTGGGGGGAGGGGGGCCACGGATCAATTTTTGCACCTGGGGCTCCATGGGTCATGTGTACGCCACTGTTTACAACTGCGCACTATTTGACGTTTCTATTTGACTCTCAGATATGAAGTGCACCACAGGCCCCAAAATGTACTATTTAGCAGATTAGCAGCAAAACAATTCAAATTTTTACAACTGCGCTGTAAGCGCACTATTTGATGCTTCGATTTGACTCTCAAATATGAAGAGCATGCCCAAAATGTACTATTTAGCAGTTTAGCAGCAAAACAATTAGAATGTTTACAATTGCTCTGTAAGCGCACTATTAGACACTTTGATTTTACTCTCGGATATGAAGTGCACGCCCCAAAATGTACAATTTAGCAGTTTAGCACCAAAAGAATAAGAATGTTCACAACTGCGTTCTAAGCGCACTATTAGATGCTTCTATTTGACTCTTAGATATGAAGTGCACGCCCAAAATTTACTTTTTAGCAGCAAAACAATTAGAATGTTTACAATTGCTCTGTAACCGCAGTATTTGACGCTTCTATTTGACTCTCAGATATGAAGTACACCCCACTAAAATACTATTTAGCAGTTTAGCACCCAAAAATTTTTAAGTTTTAAAACTGAGCTATAAACACATTAGACGCTTCTATTTGACTCTCAGATTTGAAGAGCAGGCCCTAAAATGTACTATTTAGCAGTTTAGCAGCAAAACCATTAGAATGTTTACAACTGCGCAGTAAGCAGGGCCGGATTAACATAGGGGCTGATGGAGCTGCAGCTCCAGGCCCAGGGCCATGGAATAGGCCCATT